AACAAACAAACAAACAAAAATAATGACCTCAGGTGTATCTAGTAACCTACATCAGCCAAAAAAAATTTTTTCAACTGTACATAAGATCAAATAAAACAATGATAGCAGTCACCTTAATTCTTGACTGGACAAGTGATGCCCTCTTTGCATTATATCGGAACTTGTCAATGAAAGCCTAAGAATAAAACAGAAGAATTTGCATGTCAAATAAATACTGATGAAATACAATATACAAATCACTGTCAGAATGAAATGCATCTGAATATAAGATGGCTCTGATAGAGAAAACTGATCCCATACTTAGCAGTAAATATATTTGCAAAATGAACTCCATGCCAAAAGTGCAAAGTGCTTAACAATAAATGAAAAGAGAAAACCATGTCACAATTTGGCGTCACCAGTTTTAAGAGCAAGGAAAGAACCTGCATGTGGGATCTAGATCGTTCATTTGCCTCAAATGCTTTCTGCTGGTTCTTAATCTGTTCCTCCCGTGTCCTCTCAAAGGTATCATAATTCCCTTTGTAGGTAATCAGTTTTTGCCCTTGTAAGTGAATAATATCAGTGACAACCTGAAAATAAGTGTGTTAACCAATGTTACCAGATATCAAGAATAAGGGAAAAAGGACAGAGCATTACTGTGTTCAAGAATTCTCTAGCATGAGAAACGACTATACAGGTTTTAGGCCATTTCACTAGGTAAGATTCCAGCCATAAGACAGCATGAAGATCAAGATGGTTCTGCGAAAACAAATAAATAAAAAATATGAATACACCAAATTCTACCAAAAATTGCACCAGTTTAGTTCGTATATATGTAAAATAATCACATACTGTAGGTTCATCAAGGAGCAACAAATCAGGCTCGATAAACAGTGCACGAGCAAGAGCAATCCTCATTCTCCATCCTCCAGAAAATGTTTTTGTAGCCTTCCGCTGCATTTCTGGAGAGAAGCTGAGACCCTGGAAATATTCCAAGCCAGTGAGATTACACATTTGATAATACTAAAGAAACTAACATGCATGACATGGTTTTACCCATGCTCCATATAAGCAGTTAATCACAATCAAGGATAGCAAGTGCATAACCAACCACAGAACCTTCATAATTGGAGCAATCTTCATGCAAACCAATCTTGATTGGCTTCTACTACTGTGCAAGCAATTCTTTTCATGATTCATAAGAATCATAACCACCTAACTTCTCTTTATCCATCAATTTTTTAACTCCTTCCAATGCCTACCAATAGGCATTGTGCAATGATTAAGCCAAGCCCATCTATATATCCAGTTTTTAATAACAATCTCATTAAATGAGATAAAATTGGATGAAACATAACCAATATGCAGAAGTTGCCTAAGATCTTTCAGTGTTTGAAGTCAACCAAAAGTGAAGTCAACACTTTCAAATTAAAACAGAAAGAAAATGATTCGACTACAAACCGCGAGAATGGAAGCTGCCCGAGCCTCTGCAGAATATGCATCAATGGCCTCAAGCCTCTTGTATATTTCCTCAAGCCTTTGGGAAATAGCATCTTTATCAGGCGCTGTATTTAGATCTGCTCCGTTCTTCACATTTGTTTCTTCAAACTCAAATTCTCTCTTCAAAGCAATAACAATAAAAGAAAATTTTTATTATAAATTTCTTTTACAATAAATGCACTCAAAACTAGCATATAGTTGAGATCACATGATATCAGGACCTAAAATCTGACTGATTTTTTTTTAAAAAGAAATTTTTAGAAAAAAAAAAAACCACGTGCATCATAGATTAAACCTGTTGTGCAAGCAAATGGGCTTCTTCTTCCAAAAGCTGGGTTCTTTCAATGTCAGAGTTAAGAACACATTGCAATGCTGTTATGTCATCCCCAACTACTTCTTGCTCAACATGTAATATTTGGCAGTTTGGAGGAATTCCATCAATGGCATGCATGGCCATGTACCTGAGAAAAGTTGTCTTCCCTGTGCCATTTCTTCCAACAAGGCCTGTATCATTGCTATGGTATATTAAAAACAAATCACTGAATAAATTTCACAACCAGAGAAATAAACTCTAGTAAGCAACTTTACAAGCATCCTTCTTATATTAATTTATTTTCTTTTAATTTATTTTTCTTCTTATTTTTTTCTTTTAATGAACACTTCTTGTCTGAAAATGGAGACCAAACCCACCATAATGCCTCCCAAATGAGAGTGTGACTGTTCCATCTACAATCAGATCACGGCCACCCACAGAAATACTGAAGTTCTCCATGTGAAGATCCCTAACAGCTGATCCAACAGTGTCATGATTCACACAGACAACTGGCATCCCTGCTCTTGCTGCTTCCATTTCTGCTAAATGCATTTGGTATTCTTGCTGCATGATATGATACATGTGAAAACAGTTACAAAGGAACAGAAAAAAATGAGAAAATGAGAAAAAAAAAAAAGGGGGGCAAAAACAATTTGATCACATGCACTAAGTCTAGAGCTTTAGAGCAACCTCAATATGATGTAGTTCTATATGGCCAAAACAACGTACTCACAAAAATGCTAAGCTTGGAAATAGGATGCAGTATTAGAGATATGTCTAACATTGCAAATGGATGTCAGTAGGTGAAAATGTAAAAGATAAAAGTAGATGTATTTTCTAGTTGAAGGTTCACCTCTCTTTGGCGCTCCTCCTTCCTCTTTCTCCTTTCTATCTTTGCTTTATCTCGCTCAGATAGAAGGGGACCATCAGTTGGCTCTGGTTTCTTCTTTGGAGCTTCTTCATCCATTCCTTCATTCATCCTGAAAGGCGTTGCAAGACTCCGTACAGTGGGCTTTGCTTTCACCAAACCATGCTTTCCAAATTTTTCACACAGTGTGCTACAAACCTATCATAACTTCCACAGGAAATAGTTAAAAACAGAAAGTCAAGAAGAAATGCTCCCATGAAATCATCTTAGTGTACATTTTCAGTTCATCATACTGAACACCCTTTTTTTTTCAGACTCTATATAAATATGAATTGGTGAAGTTGGAGCAAATTTAAGTGAAACTACCTGATGCTTAGATCAATACCTCAGCAAATAAAAATACAAACAAAAAAAAAAAATTATGTTTTTCATTTCTACTTTCTTAGCATCAAAACAAACCAAAGTAAATCAAAAAGAAGCGAGAGTAACCTTGCGGCACTCAGCAAAGTCGGTTACGCAGTCAGCGGCGACGAGGAGTTCGCCAATTGCTTCGAAGGCGCCGTCTCCGTCATCGCCGAAGTCGAAGTCCTCGTCAGCAAGGACGTTGATGATGTAGTCAATGATTGGCTGATCCACATCTTCTGCTCGGCGGCCGAGCACTTCGTGCACCACTGAGCTCGCCACTTCCGTCATGGTTAAAGGAACGGCAGCAAAAGACTCTGGAGACAAAGAGAACAAGCTACCGGCCCTAAAAGAAATTAGCACAGACGATACCAGTCCGGACTGCACATCAAGTTGGGAAGGTTAAGGGTTCATTTCCAAAAAGAAATTAGTTCAGGGGCTAATAAGCCTCAACTGGAAAACATTAGGGGCTTATAAACGCTTTTCGCCAGCGGAATCTAATTCCCCAGAGACTCCCAGTAGTTCATGCTTCTCTCTGTTTTGTTTCTAAAATCCCATTGCCTTGAATTGAATTGTTGGTGTTTGTTTTAGGAGGGAAGGAGATGAGGCTGTTAAAGGTAGCAACTTGTAATCTGAATCAATGGGCAATGGATTTCGACTGCAATTTGAACAACATAAAGGAATCCATAACAAGAGCTAAAGGAGCCGGTGCTGTCATCAGGCTTGGACCCGAGCTTGAGATTACTGGTTATGGCTGCGAAGATCATTTCTTGGAACTTGATACAGTAACGCACGCGTAGGCTTTCCGTCGTTGGTTTATTTCCCGGCGCTTTGGTTTGCTTTCAACTTTGAGTTTAGGATATATATGATACGCTGTTGGTTTTTGATTGGGTTACTGCGTGAAATTTAGCAATTTGAACTAGTATCCAATTTCCCATTTTTATATCAAGTCCAATGCAGTTATGTTCCGGGTCAGATCCTCCAAAGGCTGGTCTTTTCTTTGTTGTTGATTTTTAGTATTTCAGCTTATTCCTTTGATCACAGCTGTAAGTGAGTAGTCTGCTATCAGTTTGTCAATCCTAATGCCTTGAAAGATTTCTAATTAGTAGGAAATCCACTCACCCCATCGAAGACCCTATCCCTATTGATGATCTGAAGCAAGCATGATAATCTGTATTGCTTTGTTTTTATTTCTCTTCAATGACATTTTGCCCATTACTTGCTTGCAGGTGGGAGTGCTTGAAAGAAATACTGCTTGGGGATTGGACGGATGGAATATTATGCAGCATAGGAATGCCTGTCATTAAAGGATCAGAACGTTATAATTGTCAAGTTTTATGTTTTAACAGAAAAATCATTATGATACGCCCTAAAATGTGGCTTGCAAATGATGGTAATTACAGAGAACTTCGATGGTTTACGACATGGAAGCAGAAAGACCACCTCGTAGACTTTCAGCTTCCACCTGAAATTTCTGAGGCTTTGTCACAGAAATCTGTACCTTTTGGCTATGGATACATTCAGTTTTTGGACACGTAAGTAACTGCAATATTAATGGTCCTCTTTTCTTTAGCTTGTTATTATCTTTTTAAAATTTTAATCCATGCATAATAAAGCTCATGATGATCATAGAGGTAAAATTGCCATGGGTTGTATTCTTTCTTTTATTTTGTTTTTAATTTTTGACAAGTTTTGTGGTGCTCATTTTCTATCATTTTATTCATAGAGCTGTTGCAGCAGAAGTTTGTGAAGAGCTTTTTGCTCCTATGCCACCACATGCCGAGCTTGCATTGAATGGGGTTGAAGTTTTCATGAATGCAAATGGAAGTCACCACCAATTAAGGAAATTAGATCTTCGACTTCATGCAATTATAGGTGCTACTCATACTCGTGGAGGGGTTTACATGTACAGTAATCATCAAGGATGTGATGGTGGCCGCCTATATTTTGGTATACATCTCCAGACCCCATTACTCTATTTATCATCTTACATATATTAGTAGAAGAATCAGTTTGTATATAGTATTTATCAGCCTACATATATTAGTAGAAAAGTTAGCTAGGTGTTTAAGTTTTCCAACAAATCTAGTTATTAGACATAATAATTTTTCCTTATAAAGAACACTGTATGTGATGGAGAAGCAGTTGTTTGATATATAGTGAGTATCAATTTATCTGTTACAGATGGTTGTAGCTGTGTTGTTGTGAATGGAGAAGTGGTTGCTCAAGGATCACAGTTCTCTTTGAAAGATGTAGAAGTTGTGGTTGCTCAAGTAGATCTTGATGCGGTATGCAAATTTGCATTTTGAACATCAGATGAACTAATATTCAAGACTTATAAATTATAATTGCTGTTAGCCATGCATAAGATCTCTATTTATAAAAATTGGTGGGCTTCCTTATATTCTATCATTGTACATGGTAAAAATCTGAATTTAGTTCCCTTCTTTGCTTAATGGCAGGTTTCTAGTCTAAGAGGATCTATAAGCAGTTTTCAAGAACAAGCAAGTTGCAAAACTAGAGTATCATCAGTAGCAGTGTCATCCAATCTTTGCCAATCTTTTAACCTGAAGTTCTCACTTTCCAGTCCACTGAAGGTCAGTTAGAATAAAAGCCTTGTCGAGTTGAGTTTAAACCAATGAATTGAAAATTTAATGGTCCTCTGCTTGCCTGTCATCCGTTAAAGGTATACCGCTTGCTGGTCAATTATCAAATTTAATTTTTATTGAACAATTTTATGAGCTGCAGATTATGTATCACTCTCCCGAGGAAGAAATAGCCTTTGGGCCTGGGTGCTGGCTATGGGACTATCTAAGAAGGAGTGGAGCTTCTGGATTTTTGCTTCCTCTTTCTGGTGGGGCAGACAGCTCCTCTGTAGCTGCTATAGTTGGCTGCATGTGCCAACTAGTTGTTAAAGGTTAGGTTTTAAGAGTATAATTTTCATGCAGTGTTCTTGTACAGTCTTTTTCATATTACAACTGAGAATCCAGTTAGCATATTCTTGTGTTGAGTCCTTTTTCATGTTAGTTAGGGTTAAACTGAGAGTCCAGCTAGCATATTCTTATGAAAATTATTTTTGGTCATGGACTGGGTATAGAAATTGCCAATGGAGATGAACAAGTTAAAGCTGATGCTATACGAATTGGAAATTACTCTGATCAGCAGTTTCCCACTGACAGTAAGGAATTTGCTAAGCGCATTTTTTATACCGTGTACATGGGTTCTGAAAATAGGTGAGTACGTTACATCCTTTCTCTCTCTCTCTCTCCTTTTTTTTTTTTTTTTTTTTAAATTTAACATTAGCAGTGCATTGATTTTTGTTTTTTTGTTTCTAGCAGTTCTGAGGCCACAAGGATGCGAGCTAAGACACTAGCTGATGAGATTGGTTCATGGCATCTGGATGTTTGTATCGACAGTGTTGTTTCTGCTCTCCTGTCTCTGTTTCAAGCATTAACTGGAAAACGACTGCGCTATAAGGTTAAGGAGGGGTTGAAAGCTCATTTCCTGTTTCTTTTCTGAAGCTTAAATAAGCATGGTGGCAATGCTACTTTTTAGCTTATGAAAAATTACTGCTTCATCTCTGAGTACCAACTATGTTAAGTTGGGTTGTGGATAAAAATCCATGGCATTAACCAGATCTATGCACTGACTTCAACCAATCTTCTTGAAGAAACATAACCTTAATATCATTGGAAATTATTTTTTAACCAATATATAAAGTTTCCTTTCATTCAATATGACAACAGTAATATTCACCAGTTATAGTGCAGCACTAAGTATTCTCTAATATGCAGGTTGATGGGGGATCCAATATTGAAAACCTGGGATTGCAGAACATTCAAGCTCGAATCAGAATGGTGTTAGCTTTTATGTTAGCTTCACTTTTGCCCTGGGTTCACAATAAACCAGGCTTTTATCTTGTTTTGGGAAGCTCCAATGTTGATGAAGGATTGTGTGGTTACCTCACAAAGGTACTACACAGTTTTAACAGTTGCTTAACATCTGTTTCTAATTGTTATGGTAGGTTTATGAGTGTTTACTATTAATCTCCTTCATAGTATGATTGCAGCTCAGCAGATATAAATCCAGTAGGAAGCATTAGTAAGCAGGATCTTAGGATGTTTCTCCAATGGGCTGCCATAAATCTTGGATATTCATCCTTGGCAGACATTGAAGCAGCTCCACCCACTGCTGAACTGGAGCCTATACGTTCCAACCACAGTCAGGTATTATCTCATCAAACATGCACTATAGTTTTTTGAAGTGATTTGTTTCATATATTGATTCCTTCCAGATTTCAAAATTAAGTTAGAGAAACAGTGGATTTAATACTAGATTCTGCATGAAACAGCTGGATGAAGTGGACATGGGAATGACATATGAAGAACTATCTGTCTACGGAGGATTGCCGAAAATATTCCGCTGTGGTCCTGTATCAATGTTCAAGGTTTGATATTGAACTCGTCTATTCTGTCTCATATATGGCAGTTAGAGCTTTATATACGTGAATTTTTTTTTCTTCTTAAAAGAAGAATTTATATTTAGAAGAATAATTTTTCTTAAATTTGCACATATTTAGGGAGTTGGCATCAGGATAGATAATTCTTTGACTTGTGATATAGGTTTTGGCATCTTCAATTATATGATATGTTTCTGCGTCTTGTGCTGCTTTGTTGAACTAATCAGATACTTATCTGTACGTACGTCATTGAGTGTTGCAGAATCTGTGCTACAGATGGGGTGCAACACTAACTCCATCAGAAGTGGCTGTTAAAGTGAAACACTTCTTCAAATATTATTCCATCAACCGACACAAAATGACTGTATTAACACCCTCCTACCATGCTGAGGTATGTGAAAACTAAACAACTACAAAGTTGAAGGTTGTTCAAGAGAAAGAAGTTTATATGTTGCATTCTTGTTTGTTGCAGAGCTATTCACCGGAGGATAATAGGTTTGATCACCGTCAGTTCCTGTACAATTCAAGATGGCCGTATCAATTCCGGAAGATTGATCAACTTGTGAAGGAGTTTGATGGCGACAAAGTTGCGTTTAAGGGATCAGTTGGCGGTGGGAATGGGATGGGAGTTGTGGCAGCGTCTTCTGGGGGCGACCCTTAAGCTGGCCTTTAGTCTAGAGAACAACTCATCATGGGTCTAATTCCCTTGCAAATAATAGTAAGTAGACTTAACCGGTTTGGTCATTTAGTGCATGGCTATAAATGAAATCAATAAAAGAATATTAATACTACCCATTTTTTAGTATTAATAAAAAAAAAAATACTTTAATTATAATATCATCTAATATTATAAATTTATAATATAATATAATATATAATTAATTTTATTTATTTAAAAATCTCAAAATAATACTATATTTA